GGTACTGGACACGGAGCAGGGCTTCAAACTGGTCCGATCCAACTGAACTGGTTCCACCGGCGGTACTGGACACGGAGCAGGGCTTCAAACTGGTCGTATTTTGGACGCGGATCCAAATGGCGGCTGGTTTAAAATGGCAGCTACTCTGCACCAATCAGCAGCCGCGTTCTAAACTCTGTTATTTTCATTAGTTTGTTGGTTTTGAGATGAAACTCTGATGGTCGACTGAACTTTTTGCACATTTTGACTCTAGAATGTTTATTTTCTCACATGTTGCCTTTTGAAACTGACTCGGCTGTTTAACGCTGAACCAAAGTGACGCATCTATATTTCTAATATCTTTTTATCTGTGTTGAAATAATTCCTGTTCTACTTTTTGCATTTTTTTCCGTCTTTGCTGATAAAAAGCTCAGGTTTGCTGCTTTAAGACTGTTTTCTACGTTTTATTTTTTAAAGATTGACTGCAGCTCTTTGCTGTTAGTTCGACTGCAGGACTTTTATGAACCAAAGGAAGATTCTTTTTCTACATTTTATTGATCTATGCAATGTTTTAGAATATGTTGTGATAAGTGGGGAGAAAATGGGCTGTTTGTTTTACTCTGAGCAATAAAAGTGGAACTTTACTGGTTTGTAATGATTTTGTTCTAATACTGGCCATCAGCCATCGCTAATAGAAACGGCATTAAAAGAACTGCAGCAGATCTATAATCAGATTCTATGAATGATGAGTAGAAACGTGACAAAGCAGTGGATGAGAAAACCTTTGAGCTCAGGTTAAAAAGAAATTAAAAATAAAAGAAACACACAACGATGGAAGGAATTGTCATAGTCGGATTCCAGTGGCCTTTCAGCGGGGCCAGAGAGCGATGTCCGCTTACGATCCACCACAAGACCTTTTGAAACACATTTCTGTTGAGTTTCAGAACTTATAAAGCCAGACTGGGTGAGAATGTCTGCCCTCCTCTGAGCCACTGAGACAGAGAGAACCTGCCTTGCAGTTTAGCCTTCCTGCTAAACTCAAGCTGGATGGAAACTCTGCAAATGGAAATGGACAAAAAGGTTTGCAGGCCTGGCATAGGGACAGAAAAAACTATTTGTCTTGATGATCATTTCATGTGTTTACTGATGAGTAAAGGCAAAGCTAACAGGATGAACTGCTTGCTATGCTATGCTATGCTATACATAAACGTGTGTTGAGCTGTTGCTGAAGCTTGGAGAAGCTTTATTTCACTAAGGGTTTAAACACTGATATAACATTAGTGTTCATGTGTTCCTCAGATGCTCGTTACATTTCCATTACCAAGTCTGACCAAGAGTCATTTAGTGGAATCCTGATGTCTATTTGCTGCTAGCTATTTCAAAGAGGGTAAAGACTCATTTAGCTAAAGGTTATTGGTTCCTGATTAAGCAAATCATTTAATAAAACATTATTTGGCCAAATAAAATCCCAAATTCTTCCAGATAAACTTTGGTTTTCAAACTCAAAATCCATCTTAAACTGTAATATGGTTTTCACCCATGTTCCCCTTCCTCTTTGTACGGTTTAGTTTAGTTGAGTTTCACTTGAGTTTGACTTGGAGCTGCATGATTTTTTATAAACTAATATTTTGAACAGAAGTTGTGGTGAATTTATTCCATCTATGTGCAGAATTAACAGTTTGACCATGATTAGAATCACTCTTTCATTTATAGTTCTAACACACAGCTAGTAGGGCGTGTGCTCAA